CTCAACATCTCTAAGCCTGCTCCCCATCCCATAATGATTGGATTTTAATAAAAGTCTGTGCTTCCTCTATTGCTGGGCAGAAAAATGAGATCCTATCCTGATGATCTTACCAGGGGTCCCTGATTTTTTTCTTTTCTTTTTTTTTAGGCTGGGGGATAGAAGTGAGGAGAACAGGTTGGGATGTGTTGGGTCTGAGGCCCTGGGGCTGGGGAGGCAGTTATTCCCCGAGGATGTGTTGTCTTTCAACGCCTAGCTGGCTGTCCTCCACTTGCCTTCCAGCTCCAGGCTCGGAAGGTCCTGACAGAGTCTGAGGTGGGGGTAGAGGAGCCAGGTCAGTGCTTACATGTCCAAAGGCTGCTGACAAACCTGGACAAGCCTTCACTTCCTGCCAACCAGAGTCAGACCTGATAAAATCTGTCTTCCGGCCCCTGAAAGCTCTGTCCCACCAGCCCCAGTCAGGCCTGGAGATCGCCACACCTCCTTCATGATCCCCCACCTGACCTCTGCCCATCTAACCCCCACGATTGCCTAGCCCTCTCCAGGCTTCATCGCAGGGATTCTACTGCCCTCACCCCAACCCTCCCCCTTTCCCTTTTCCCTCTCAAAAAAAAAAAATAGCTTTTAATACTGAAGTGCCCTGTTCCAAGGCACCTGCCATCCTCTCAGGGAAGAATGCAGACAGTTAATTGGCAAAACAGGATAGTTTATGATTAAAGGCACAGATGCCTGTTACAGGATGTACCTGCCTCATGAGGTCAGAGAGCACGGAGTGGCTGGGCTCGAGCACACACAGACTTTAACTTTTAATGACAAACAGATGCAAATTTAGAGCTGCAATCCGAAATGCTGCAGCTAAGCCATATTGATTTCCCACCCCTCCACCTCCACCAGGGTGTATTTATAGAACTTATCATTGGAGTCTCCATAGCATAACCAGACCAGATATGTCCTCTGCCACTCTGAGCTAACACCTCTCTCTGATTCACCTGACCATACACACACTCCCTCTGTGTGTGCTGGCCTCCCCTTGTCTAGGCTGCCCATTGAGGAAGAGCCCCCTGGGAGGGGACGGCTGGGGACAGTAGGCAAGGCTGAGTGGGCAAATCTCTGCTAACATCTCAAAGGCAAACAAACCCACTTGAGATAATCAGTGATTTGCATAGATTGGAGAGAACTGGCTGTTCCCGTGGGCCAGCTCATGTTCCATTAGAACTGGATCAAATCATCCAGACATTGAAATCTTTTGGGTGACATTTTCATTTAAACTTGCCATCATAGCTGGGCTGGAGTCCCCTGTCTGTGACCTGTGCTATGAGTCAACCAAGCTCGGACACATCATTGCTAGAGCTGATCTGTAATCTTCCATAGCTGCTGGCTGCTGCTTGTTTCCTCAGGACTGAGAAAAACTATGTGCACAAGCTTTGTTTCTCAATTGTAGCTTTTAATACTTTTCCTTGGTGACTAGTGGGGCCAAGTCATTGATTTACTCATCTTATGCATTGAGTGCACAGTTAATAATGTGGACTCTGGAATCAATTGCCTCAATTCAAATCCCACCTCCACCAATTAAAGTTTTATGTTAGCAACTCTAAAACCTCAATTGCTTCATCTGTAAAAGGAAAATCATAACCATCTCTGACCCAAAAGCTGCTCAGAAGATTTTTCCAGTTTAGGTTTCTGGAAGCAGACTATGAAAGTTAGCAAGAAGGACTTGCTCGGGGAATTCTCTGAAGAGCCACACCTCAGGATTGGGCAGAGTTGGGCTGTGATGTAGTCCCAAAGAAAACAGCAACCAAAGCCAGGGGACACTCTGGAACCAGGATGTTCCTTGGCCCTGTTTTAAGCCAAAGCAAAGGAACTGGGGTTGGTAAGCCCCTTAGTAGCTCAGCCTTGGACGCAGGTTGCCCCCAAGGAAGTGGGACCATGGGTCAGGCAGTTTTCTTCAGCTAAGCCTGTCCCTGAAGGATAGCTGAGATTTTTATGTGAACTTTGGAAAGTTTCTAGACATCTCTAAGCTGGTTTCTTCATCCATTCAATGGGTTTAATAAAAGCCTGTGCATGCTACGATTGATGTGCAGATAAATGAGATTGTGTCTTGCCCTTTTCCTATAGCATTCCCAGTAATGGATAGAGTAAGTCCCTTATTCTTGGAAAGAGACCTGGGCAGCACATAACAGCTTCCACCACAAAGATTAAATGTGATAATCCACATGGAATCCTCAACACAATATGTGGCAGGTAGTAATTGCTCCATAAGTGGTAGACATTGCAATTGTTGTGGCTTTAATAGCTGTTATTTGTCAGGCATTGTGCTAGAGGCTGGGGACACAGCAGTGATCATGATTCTGTTCCTGCCCTCAAGAAACTCAATCCTTGAGCAATTTAGACAATGAAACAAGCAATTACAACCCAATTGACAAGGTGGCACAGGATGTGCATGGGAGCACCTAGAAGAGGCACATGACCTAGACTAGAAGGAGGATGGAAAGCAACGCTGAAGGTGATACCTGAGGATGAAGAGGCCCCAGTCAAGCAAAGGGAGCAACAGGTGGGGGTGGGGTGGGGAGAGGTCTGTCCAGGTGGAGGAAGCAGTGTGTGCACTGTGTGTGCATGACACAGTTTGCAGGGGCAGCCAGAGTGTGCCAGGACTGGGAGGAAGGGCCTTGTGCACACATGACAAGGAATGTGAACTTGCATTCCAAGAGGGCAATGGGAGTTATGGATGGATTTTTTAAAAATGTTTTTCTGTAGTTGTAGATGGACAGAATGCCCTTATCTTATCTGTCTATTTTTATGTGGTGCTGAGGATCTAACCCATTGCTTCACGTATGCTAGGCAAGCGCTCTGCCACTGAGCTACAGCCCCAGCCCACATGGATGGATTTTAACCACAGAAAGGACAAGGTCCATTTTGTGCTTGAAAAGATCATGCTGGCTGACATACAGGCAAGTGAATAGAGACAGACAAGATTAGAGGCTGGGAGACCCAACAAGAGGTTGTGCCAGTGTCCAGATGAGAGGCAAAGGTGACCTGGACAAGTTGATGGCACTGAAAACACATAAGAGCACACTGAGTTAAGTAATATTTAGGAAGGGGTGATGACTGGATGGTGAGAGAGAAAGGGAATTCAAGGTTAGACTTGAACTTCTGATCTGGGCAAGAGATCTTCAGGAGGCCATGGAATGAGTGTCCTAAGACCAGGAGGGAAAAAAGCCATTGAACTCAGACATGCCTTATTCAGAATGGCTCGAAGGAGCTCTACCAGCCAGCTCTCGGGAGCATATGCCTCCATTTTAAAGAAGCCCATTTGAAGTCCCAGTAGAGTACAGTACAATCACCAGAAGCTGCTATGTTAATCCCAGAGGTACCTGTTTCCTTCCCTTCTAAGGGGACTGGCCAGCAGAATGCACTCTCAGTGTTTAATTGTACTTGTAGTGGGAAGCAAACTAGGCAAAGAAGAAGACAGAAATAAAAATTCACTTTGGATTCAATCTTCATGAACATCAACAATGTTTATTGGTAGGGACTCTAGGTTCAGCCCTGTGCTCAGGGCTTCAGATATAAGGAAGCATAAGCATATAAGTTCACTGACCCGTGAACTTGAGGGCCCAGTTCCTTCCACAGTAACTTTTTTTTTTTTAATGGTGCTGGGGATGGTGGAGATGGAACCTAGCCCTATCACCACCAGATTTCTCATGGTAAATTAGTGTGCAGGCATCCAGGTTTGTACATGGATCCTTCTTATGTTTCATGATCTGAGTCAGTTCCTGAGGCCTGATCACCTCTGCACTTTTACGGCTTCAAAGCAAATAAGACCTTTGCAAGTGGGAATAATCCCACTAGAAAGGGTTGGCAGACCTCTCTAGTATTTGCTCCAGGGGAATAATCTGAGGGCAGGAAAAGACCTGAGGATTGTTCCTCCTCCTCCTCCTCCTCCTCCTCGTTCTCCTCCTCCTCCAACTACTACTACTGCTTCCTCTTCTTTTTTTTTTTTTTTTTGAGACAGGGTCTGTATCATTTGCCCAGGCAGACCTCCAATTCATGCTATCCTGCCTCAGCCTCCCAAATAGCTAGGATTACAGGCCCACCACCAGCCCAACTCCAGAATATTCTCTGAATTCGAGTTGGGAAATCAGGCCCAATATTAGTTCAAGACATTTCTGAGGAAAGAGAATGAGTCGTCATGCCTAAGGATCTAAATTGGCACCTCCCCAAATTCTTTCTGGAATATTGGAGAATCAGGGTGCTTGTGAGGTTACAAGTGAAACTGCCATTGAATCAACCAAATAAAGAATTTTCATGGTTTGGTTTGGTGCCTACTTTCCAAACAAGGGTATAGATTTAAGACATCAAGAACCAACCTCTACTATTAAAAAAACAAACAAAAAAACAAGAAATGTGATTTTTCTTTAAAATTGTTCCTCTATTACAGATATGAGGTTCAAGAATGAAACCATCAGTCGATATGATTTCTTCTTTAGGTTTCCAAAGGCAGGCAGGTTCTTTTCCTCTGCACTTCCGTTTTCTTCCAGGCTCGTCATGGTGTCAGGTTAGTGTTCCGGAGCTCCTCCTGGACAGCACTTGCGCCCTTGAGAGAAAGTGTTTTAAACGTCACCAAGGGACACCAGGGTCCCCGAGTATCAGTGTATGAGGGTTTGGAGGTGGGCGCGACTCCCCTAGTTTGAAGACGACTTGTAGCTTATTCAGAGGAGGGGCAGCGCGCGGACTCCCGTCCCGGGAACACCCACGCGGCGCGAAGGAGGCAGCGAGGCTGGAGACCGAAACCCGCCCGGGCGCACAGAGGACGCCCCGGGCCGGCCAGGAGCCCAGGTCCAACTCTGGGTGATCCCTGCGCGGGGACGCGATTGGGACAGCTCCGGGGAGGGAGGGAGGACCCGGAAGGGGTGGGGGAGGGGACACGAGCCCCGCCCCGGCCCCGCCCCTGGCTCGGCCCCGCCCCGCCGCGCCACGATTATAGCCGATGACTCAGGGCGGAGCTCCGCATCCAACCCGCACGGCCGCCAACTTCTCTGGATGGGACCAGAAGTTTCTAGCCGGCCAGTTGCTACCTCCCTTTATCTCCTCCTTCCCCTTTGGCAGCGAGGAGGCTATTTCCAGACACTTCCACCCCTCTCCGGCCACGTCACCCCGTCCTTTAATTCATAAAGGTGCCCGGGGCCGGCTTCCCGGACACGTCGGCGGCGCGCAGAGCTCTCGCTCCACCGGCGGCGGCGAAGTGTCCGCACCCCGCGACCTCGCGTCCCGCGGCCGCTGCGGCCCGACCCCGACCCAGCATGAGCGCTGCCACCCACTCGCCCATGGTGCAGATGGCGTCCGGCAACGGCGCCGGTGACCGCGACCCCCTGCCCCCCGGCTGGGAGATCAAGATCGACCCGCAGACCGGCTGGCCCTTCTTCGTGGACCACAACAGTCGCACCACGACGTGGAACGACCCGCGCGTGCCCCCCCAAGGTCCCAAGGTGAGCCGAGCCAGCGGCCTCACGTCGACGGCGAGCAGGCCGGGCGGGGGGACTGGGCCGGCGGGGTACGCCAGGGCTCCCGACCGCCGGAGGTCTGCGAAGGCCACCGCGGACGCACGGCCTTCGGGGCGGACAGCGACCCCCACGCAGGGGTAGGTCGCCGCTCCCGTTGCGTCCTGCTGCGCGCCGGCGAATACCCTCTGCAGACCCGCCCTTGACAGGCGTCGGGCCCAGAGAAGCCCCCCGAGGGCTGGCCCAGAGAGTGCGACCCGCGGGGGGACGCTGGGTCCACTCGCCCTGTTCGAGGGGCGGAGGGCCTGGTGCTGGAGCTGCCCGCGCTCCTGGGCCCCGGGAGGGGCGGCCGGCCTGGTCAGCCGCCGAGGTCCTGGCCAGGCCCCGCCGCGGCCTCTCCCCCCACCCGGCCTCGCGTCCCGAAATCGGCGGCACCCCCTACGGTTCATGCATCGTCCCTCTGTGCGGATGCCAGAATCCCTCGCAGGCAARGGGTGGGGGGGACTTTGGGGGAACTTCACCTTCTAGTTCCACAACTTGGTGGAGGGTTATGTTGACTTTACTCTGTCTCAGACATAGAGTGACTCAGGACACTGGCATAAATACATTTCATTAGTTTTTATTCTTTCTGTATTTGAAATTACAGCTGTATTACTGTTTGAAACTGCTTTCAATAAGGTAGTCTAATGTCACTTGTTTAAAGAAACAGACAAAAAACCCACAAGGTCCTCTACTCCCGGGCAGTTTCTGTGCTAGAGATCCCTGACTGCCTCATAGTTGGCCCCTGCCTGGCCACATTGCCTCACACTGGAGAGAAAGAGAATATGTATTTTTTTTTTTTTTAATGGCACACATTCCCCTTCTTGTTATGGTATTAAAATACTTAGGATTTGTTCACAGTACACAAATAACTAAAGAGCGATACTCTTGTGAATGCAGCAAATATATACCCCAGTTTCAAATATGCAGAGATACCTTCAAGAGCATGAAAATTTGAAAATACAAATTTGGGATGAAGAGCAAGGAAATTTGAAAATAAATATTTGGATTGAGGGCTGGGATTGTAGTTCAGTGGTAGAGCTTTTGCTTAGCATGTGTGAGGCAATGGGTGCCAACCTCAGCACCACATATAAATAAAGTAAAAAAAAGTAAATTGACAACTAAAAAATAATTTAAAAATTTTGGATTGAATCTGCTCATTTGAAAATATAATTAAAATTTTATAATTAACACATCGATGTAGTAATAATTTCTATAAATTTGAGCGATTTTTCAAAGTAAAAAGTTTGGAAAAATAAATATACCTAAAGAGTAATTATTACTGGTGTCTGGAAAAAATTAAAAGCAATTAAGAGCTGATAACCATTATTTTTAAAAAAAGATCTGTATTATCCACTTCACTTTCACTTTTAGGCACTTCATTTTTGGCCAGTGCCACAGCTAGAACTCAGGGCCTCCCAAATACTGGACAAACACTGCACTCCCAGCTCACATTTTATTTTTTTCTTAAAGATACTGATAAAACTTAGGTATCCAAGAGTGAGGCATTGTATATCCAGCAGTTTACATTTACAAGAAATTAATTGTATATTTATTCCTAAGTATCAGAACAAGAGGCTGTAATTATCTGGGATGGGCATAATTATATATATCTTTTTGTCTGTCTGTTCAACCCCTTATTGGGTGAAGCTTGTACTCTATCCCTCTTCTTTCAGGGTGCATAGGTGTAGAAGATCTATATTTTTAAAAAATATTTTTTTTTTAGTAGTCAGTACCTTTATTTTATTTATTGATACGCGGTGCTGAGAATCAAACCCAGTGCGTCACACATGCTACGCAAGCGCTTTGCCACTGAGTCACAATCCCAACCCCCAATGATCTATATTTTTGAGGTGTCCTTCCTATAGACACAGGGCCAGTCAGAATCTGCCTGCACCCTTTGTTGAGAGTGAAGATTAAGTTTGAGCACATACATTGCTTGTACTTTGCTTCTTTTTTTTTTTTTTTTGAATTTTTAAATATTGATTTTTTTTAGTTTTCGATGGACACAACATCTTTATTTTATTTTTATGTGGTGCTGAGGATTGAACCCAGCGCCCCGCGCATGCCAGGTGAGCGCATTACCGCTTGAGCCACATCCCCAGCCCTGGTACTTTGCTTTCAACATGAGATTTACCCAGCAAGTTGGGATCTTCCTATGGATGGATTAGACTGGAATTTCATAAGCCTTTTTAAGGGAAAAAAAATTACTGTTCTCAACAAATAGAAGCTATGAACTACTAAAATAGAAGGGCTGGGTTGGAAGAGTTGATCTGAAATTTTCGTGGTCAGAATTTTATTTTTTAAATCTGAATTTTATTTATTTATTTTTAGTACTAAGGTTTAAACCCAGAGGCTCTTAACCACTGAGCCACATCCCTAGTTCCCCTTTATATATATATAAACATATGTATGTGTGTATGTGTGTGTGTGTATATATATATATATATATATATATATATAAAAAGGTTGCTCTGGGCCTCACTAAGTTGCTGAGGCTGGCTTTGAACTCGCAATCCTCCTGCCTCAGTCTCTTGAGCTGCTGGAATTACTGGTGTGTGCCATACCCAGCACAGTGAAAATTTTGAAGTTCTTGAAAGTTCTGGGATAGGTGGCGTAATCCCAGTGATTTAGCAAGACCCTCAGCAACTTGGTGAAACTCCATCTCAAGACAAAAAATTAAAAAGGGCTGAGTATATAGCTCAGAGATACAGTGCTCCTGGGTAAAATCTACAGTAGCATAAAAAAAAAAGAAGAAGAAAGAAAAGAAAACTCCTTAAAGATCTTTGGTTCAGTCTCTTTATTTTATTGATAAAGAAATGCAGAGAGTTCAAGTGGGTTTCTGAAGGTCATAGAGGTAGCACCAATAGCAAGGAGAGAACAGTATGGAGCCACTAAGAACAGGCAGTGTCTGTTCACAAGTTAGAAGTGGCTTGAGTTTTTATAAGATTGAAGCATGTGGGATGGAATTCTTGAGCATCTTTATGTCTTCCCCATCACATTGGGTCACTCAACTCTGCTGTGTTTGCTTGGATTTTGATGAGTGGATATGATGAATTCAAGAAGAGAGTTTTTTTTTTTTTTTTTTTTTTTAAATCAAATTGACTACCTGGGATTTGTCGGTGTGGTACCAAAACATAAGGAGAAAACTGACGTCAGTCTGAGAGCCAGATCCTCCTGGCTGCTCCTGCTTCATGTCTGGGTTTCATTGCTTTCAAAACAGTGCTTTGATAGTCACAGAATATCTGGGCAACTGATGCAGTTTCACTTACATGAATCACACCTTAATCCAGACTAAATACAGCGGAAAATCCTTCCGTGTTGTTTTATGTTAGAAATTGGTTTCCTAATGCATAATGAGAGAAGAGCTGAGTTCTAAAGAAAAGGGCTCTTTTGGAGGAGCTGAACTAGAGGACCCTCTAAAAGCATCCTCATGTTGGAGAAGAAATGCTGCCAGTCAATAAAAAGTATTCAGCGAGCATGGAAACAAGAAAGCTCTCTTGGGGGCGGATTCTGCTTCGGGATGTTTATAATCTAACTGTGTTGGTAAAGAGATGGCTTTCATGGAAAGAAGAAAAAGACTAGCATTTTGTATTTTATTTAGTTTTAAATTCTGTCCTCTTACGTTGATATTCCACCTTTCCCTGAAGTGTTTAGAGCAGGTCTTTTCTGCCCCCCTCCTTTTCTTAACAAGGGGGCAGGTAAAAGCAAGTGTCATGACTGTAAAGACACTGGCTTCATCCAGCACCTTTTTTTTTTTTTTCTTGGTACTGAAGATTGAATCCAGGGTGTCTTACCATTGAGCTACCTCCAAATCTTATTTATTTATTTATTTTTAAATACTTTGTTAGTTGTAGATGGACAATACCTTTATTTTATTTGATTATTTTTATGTGGTGCCAGGGATCAAACCCAGTGCCTTACACATTAGGCAAGTGCTCCACCACTGAGCTACAATCCTGGCCCCTTATTTGTTATTTTGAGACRGGATCTTGCTAAGTTGCTGAGGTTGGCCATGAACTTTTGATTCTCCTGCCTTATTCTCTAGACTAAGGATCATAGGTGTGAGCCTGGTCTTCATAAGTAGCTGGGCCTCCCACCAGCAGTCTTCCTGGATTCTGATTTTCTGCATCTTCTGCTTTCCCACTAATCTCCTAGCACATCTGTATGATCCCAGACCCCTTTCCTGTCAGAGTAGTTAGTGATCACTGTGGCCCCTGGAGATGCACGGTCACCTGTAGACACTCTCCAGTTCTCCATGAGTAAACAGAGTCTAGGTATTCTGAGTTCTGGTCACTTGAATACCTTCTTGGATGGCAGGAGACACTCTTCCCTCTTAGCGAGGCTATTCTTGCTCTGTGGGTCTTTGGGGTTCCCAGCTGGCAGTCTCCAAAGGAACTTGGGCCCCATGTTGGATCTGAGTTACTCAGAGTGGTGCCCAGAAGTCTTAAGTCCAAAGAGCTTTCTGTTGACTCTGATTCTGCCAGACTGGCTTGAGAGCCACGAGGGCCTGATCCTATTTGGCACGGGGGTGGGGGGATGGGGAATGTGCTGGGATGTGATACGAGCCTGTGTGGGCCCTGGAATCCCTCAGCCGTGCCTGCTTCACGTCTGGCCTGCAGAGTTGATTGTCTAGCCTTCACTTTCCTTGGGGAAACTTTCCCAGTGCCTGAGCTTCTGCAGTGTGACTCTGGGCAGAGGTAGGGACAGGGTTAAGACAGTTTCACAGCAGAGTGTGTCTGGCAAGGTGTCAGTGTGAGAGTGGGGAGGTTGTCAGTCCCTTGGCCTGAACTTCCCCGCACCCCAGAAGAAATGAGCCAGATCAGGGACTCCTTCTTCCCGCCTGGCCCTCCCAGCACTCACTCACCATCACAGTGTGGCAGGTTGTACCCAGGTGCTGTGAAAGAAACATCCCTTCCGAGAAAATTGGAAGTATTTCAAGTATGATT